GTGAGTGCACCACCACTACATCACCCTTGTTTCACTAATGTATGTGATGTTGAGTCCAGGAATCAAACCTGAGACCCTAGAGGTGAGAGGTGAGTACACTGCCACTACATCGCCCTTGGTTTCCCACTAACTTACCAATGCAATTAAGGGTATTAAACTGCAAAGTAGCGAGTCTTAAAGCCTTGTCAGCAGAAGGACATTCTTCGCTGACTTGGTTATACTCCAACAAAATCAAGTCTTCATCGCTGCCTGTCATTGTTGCTTCGCTTGAGGCAACTGATTGGTTSAATGGTGTAGTTTTCTCTTTTGTTCCAGTCATCATGAAGTCTGCCATGGCTGAAAATGCACTTGAAACTGCTTCTGCAAGACTTCTGTCATCTGTGAGATTATAGAAAATAGAATATACCCCTTGCATTGATTTTCTAGAGGAAGTGTTCTTGGGAACAAAACGATAGGCCGTCTTTTCTTTTGAAAAAAAAAAAAAAAAAAATCCATTCCTTTCTCCCCCAGAACATTCCTCTTGGGACTCGATGCAAGGGGTTTTTATGAAAATAGTCAAAGAAGAAGGACACGTGGACCTTTATCACACGGCKGCCATGTTTATTCTCATGAGAATAAAAACCTTTGTTTCCCCAGAATAAATTAATTCTCAAGCGCTTGAATTTGAGGCTACGCGTGGTAAAATCTAATGTTCAATCCAACATGGCTGCCGCGTGAATAAGGCCCATTCTTAAGAGGGAATAAAAACAAAATAAAGTATGAATGAAAGAGAGAAAAGACAAAGAAAGCAAAAGAACGAAAGAAAGGGAGTGAGGAAAACCGGAAGGAAAAGCAAAGGAAAAGAGAAAAATGGGATGAAAAAAAAAGGGAAAGGAAAGAAGAGAGGAAAGAAGGAAGAAGGCAGGAAAAAAAGATCAGAGAGAGTATAGGAGTTAGAGGAAACAAACAAACAAACAAACAAACAAACAAACAAACAAACTGTCAACAAAGACTTATTAATAAATCCTTTACTTGACCAACCTTTCTTCGGTGTACTTTGGACAGTAGAATCCATCCAGTTCCTCCGTGATGAAGACAGCAGTAGCTCATACTCAGGTCCATATCCCTGTATAGCATCAACCAATTGCAACCCATGGACCTTAAGAGACATGGACATGTCATATGGTCTTTTGAGGTACTCCGCTGACACACCATGGACTTGTAACTCGGCTATTAAGCGACCTGCTCGAAGAAAAAGCAACCATTATAGACTGTAAATGTGTCACTAGATAATTATCATTATACTAATTTCTGACCATTGTTAAAGTGCCTATCAATACTATCAGTGTTGATTCTACATGGGGTAAGATGTGGAATGACCCSAAAAMATTTCATAGTTTGAGTGCGGCTTCTTRAAGTTATAAAGGTTTTTCCATGTCATATGCTAATGTTGTGACGTATGAGGAGGCATTTATGGTTATTTGTTGTTCCTTGTAATTCGAAACACCGGCGGGCTTCTATGGGAAAACTAACTTGCAATAATTTCAATAAGAGCAATGGGAAAAACTGACGCATTCCAAATTTTATTTATGTGTGCCAGTAAGGTTTTGTATGTTAAATGATTACTCCTCATACGTCACAACATTAGCATATGSCATGGAAAAACCTTTATAACTTCAAGAAGCCGCACTCAAACTATGAAATATTTTGGGGTTATTCCACATCTTACCCCATGTAGAATCAATACCGTGAACATTGTCAGAAGGGTGATAAGCTGTAGCATGATTAATTTGGATTCTTCTATCCATGATGGTCTATACTACTATAACCCACCTCTACTATGCACCCCACACGACACCTGATCGATGCTAAACTGTAGCAAGATTAATTTCTATTCTTCTAACCAACAATTATGGTCTATACTACTATAACCCACCTCTACTGTGCACCCCACACGACACCTGATCGATGCTAAACTGTAGCATGATTAATTTCGATTCTTCTATCCATGATGGTCTATACTACTATAACCCACCTCTACTATGCACCCCACACGACACCTGATCGATGCTAAACTGTAGCATGATTAATTTGGATTCTTCCATCAACTCTCTTGTTTTGCTTGCGACTGCTGACTCGATTATTTCTTTGCTCGATCTCCTGGGGAATCCAAAGGAAATGATGACAGCAACGTTTTTTGGAGATAATTTACGAAGGTAAGCTCGAAAAAAWGTTGCAAAATGCATCTGTTAGAAAAACGTTTATGACAGCACACAGCATCCACGTTCACTTTGTATTTCGTTATTTGTATCCAAAGCAACGGCTACTCTAATTTGTATGTTATGAAAGAAAAAAAAACCTCGCTTTTTGTGCTATCTATGCTCCTCCTCTTATGTTTTCCCAATCTTTGGCTTGCTCCAACTCAAACTCTCTTGAGTCCTCGGAGAGTCTTTCAATACATAGAGGGCGGCGAACTTTGAAAAAAAACTCCAATCCCTGCGTGCTTTATAACTGCACACAGCACGACCGATCGTTTCTTCTATTTGTGACCGATAATAATATGACGAGTAATTCATTAATTATCTTATAGTCACTGACCTGCTAGCCCTTGGTGATTCGTCCAAAGTGACCTGACTACTGTACATACTATAATACAGCTCATCCATACTTTGATTGAGATCTTCTTTRCTTGAAGCATCTAAAGACGGTCAATTATACCCAGCATCAAAAGACGGAAGGAGTGATGTTACAATAGAATACTTGCATTATGGCGTCACTTACTACCACTACCAGAATCCCCTGCACACTTTCTTTCGTTCCGTTAATTAGCACCAACTGTCTTATTATTCTCATGAGGGAATACAAATTTGAATAAGAAGGAATATTCGCGAAGCATTTTGGTAGTGGTAGTAAAATGACGCCTTCATGCAAAACTTTAAACTTTAAAACTTTAAACTTTATTGATGCAAACGTCCTATTAACGATTATTCGCCGACGGGGGAGTGATTATTGGTGAACATTTAGTATCATYATACAGGTGATTATTTGAAGTACGATAGACAATATTGGTTAATTTCTAATATGTATTTATTTATTTAGTATTTTGAAAGCGGAACGCACCAACAAACGCGCGCGCGCAATCTCATAAATAGAAATGTTAAGGGTGACATAATTCGAACGAAAAACGACTTCCGGTCCAAATAAACAATTACTTTTAAAAAAATTTTCTGCGTTTTTTCTCCATAGCAGGATTTTCTGTTCATATATCTAATTGTTGAAGGTGGAGAAAAAATCCTGGAAATAAGTTGTGGCAAGATTTTAGAGATCTTTTGTGTGACTGGACCCGGAAATACGTCACAACTTAAAAGCCCTATACCTTTAGGTGGTTATCGATAAAAAGTTCGAAGCTCTTGACCAATCAGAGGGCACAAATTTCTAAACCAATTTTTAAAGTAACTTACAAATTTCTCGCCCGCTGATTGGCTATTTTTTATCATCAATAAGAGGACAGACATATAAGCTGTCGTCAACGGGCGTCTGCGCCTCGTGGTTCCACGCTAATTTGACAATGTGATGACACAATAGTTTATCGTCAATAAGAGGACAGAAATAAAAAAACTGATGTAATTTTGTTGAATAGTTACTTTTAAAGGCGTTGTTTCTTACCCGGGGATCGAAGTCTTGTAGGAGTTGATGTCGTGAATTGAGAGGCTTTTGGATAAGGGTTGGTGGTGTTGGAAATGGTTAGCTGGTTGACACACTTTGTTAATGCATGACACTGGAAGATAAGTAGAGGTAAGATGGTAAAGATATTTAGATTACCACAACTACTACTACTGCAGTTTTCCATATTCTGCGAACTCTGTGTCTTCGAGGTGCACGCTGAAATTTKTTTTTTTTTTTTTGGCTGCCGTCAATCAAAAATAATCAGTCGGTACCTTTCATGTTTTTGACTGGCAGCAGTGAAAAACCATTTCACAACAAGGCGTTGAAATGTCTGAGTTAGAGAATATGGAAAACCGCAATAAAGCGACTTTTAAAAATGGACAATAGGAAGAACAACAGCAGAACAGCAGTAGCAATAGCAGTATCAACAAGAGCAACAGTAACAGCGGAAGCAGCAGCA